GCACAATTTTGGAGGTCTTTTTAGCCTTTGATCCGCCATGTTCGGCCGCTGCGGAGTCTCCTGACGGTGGGCCACTCATCATCTGTCGAACTGTGGGCCCCGGGATCCGCTTCAGTGCCTTATCCAACTTCTTCAGCTCCTCGTCAGTTAGAACGCTCTCCGCGTCGAGGCCCTGGGCCACAAACGTGTGTTGACAGTAGAGGTGAGTCGTGAACTCGGCGAGAGTATTAAAGGTTTGAGCACAGAAGCCCGTCACCGTGGGGAGTTCACGTATTGCCTCAGTCTTTTCAGTGTCCTGAGCACCGCTCTCCTTGGCAGCCTTCATTGCGGCCCTCAGTGTTTCCCACCACCTCGACTGTTCCATTTTGCGGCCGTCATACAGACATAAAAAGGGTGTCGTGGCCTCCACGTTGCCACCTTGCATCGTCTTGACGGCCTTGAAGTAGGCAAGCCGGTTTATGAACTCAAGTTCCGGAACGTGGTGGTCGAAGACGTGCATTTCTTGCATCAGAAGGCTATCAGACCGGAATTGTGTGTGACAAAATATGCAGCGGAAAGGGTTCCGGTGTGGTGAATGGGTTGCTATGAGGTGAGCGATCAGATGGGATCTTGAGGGTAGAACTCGCCCTCGACAGAATACACAAACAAGGGGACTGCCAACCGTATCCATTTGCCTTTCTACTTTTTCAATATCTTCCTTATGTTTCAGGAAGCAGCGATGGCGGAGAACTGTTGAAGCATTTACTTCAGCCACACAGTGTTTGCACTCATAAACGGGCACTTTGAGGTAGTTATCTAATTTCCCCATCAAGTGTTCGTGAGCAGTCAGATGGGCATGTAGGTTAGAACGTAACTTAAAATCCACGCCACATACTATGCATATTGTTGGGTACTTCTCGACAATTTCCACTTCAACAGCTGGTCCTCCAACATTTCCAAGGAGTACCTCTTGGTTTGCGAATGGGGACAATTCCGGATCAGGCAAGTCGGCGACCTTTGGGTGGTGGTAGGCCGGTTTAAGGTGTCGCATATCCAAACTTTCTGCCACGACTTCGCCATCGCTGCTATAGCTCGTCTCCACAGTGAGCCTACGGTTCATTCTGCGGAAAAATGATCCTTTTGTGCCCAGTCGAAGTGATATAGAACACCGGGCATGCTGAAAGTTAAAGTTGTATCGATCGGCCTTGCACGTGCCACCTCGATGTCAATGTACTTGCAACTGCTACTTTTGTAATTTAAGTAGACCTATTTAATAGACTTATTTTTATCTGGAAACGACATGCGGTATCAGTATATTGAGGGATGTGTAGGAAAAATTCCTTTGAGTGCCCTATTT